GATGTGTGGTTCGTCGGAGTCCGGCAGATGACACGGACCACAGGTCGATGACCGATGCTTCGCAATCTGGGCCAGGAGCATCTGGCTGACCGCAGGCTTCAACCCAACGTAATCCAAACCATCCATTGGTGGGCTGTCTTTCAACTTTGCCGCTTCCTGGAACAAGGTCATTTCTTTCAGGATTTTTTTCAGTCCGTCAAACGCTTTCTGCCCAAAGCTGATGCCACGCTTGGTCGGAATCATATCGCCGGCCTCGTTCTTGGTATAGTTACGGATGGTGGCCAGATTGGAGCGGTTGAATCGGCTCCAAGTGAAGTACAATCCGTTGCCCAAGTTGTACTTAGCAGCAGTCAGCTGGCAGTCGTCCGTGGTGGGCAATTTGGCCAGGTCATCCAGGTCGCCCTTTCCCGACATAATGATCCCCGCTAGCCGATGGAACTGGCGCTCATTTAGCGTAATATGCTTGGCCGTTTTCTCCCAGGTATCGGGACCCACCTCCTTCCATTCTCCAATGGTGACAGCCAACCAAGTAAAGTTACCGTACGCCGAGGTGCGAACGCTAATGAATTTGTCGTAGCCAATTTTGTAAACCGCAAACTGGCCGTCTAGAAATGCGGGCTTTTCCTTGTACATCCGTAGTTTAACTTGGGGACGATTTCGAATTCCGGAACAGCTGCAGCTTTCGGCTTAGTCTTCAGCTTCTTGCTGGGAGCTTTCAAAGGTCATCTTTTCCAGGTTTGCTGCCAGCGACTTCAGGCTGTTTGGCGGGTACAACGTCCGGACTCTTTCGTTTCGGATGAATGGCATCCTGGCGCACAACAGGAGCCGGAACATCCGCAGTAGTGCCCTTGGCATCGGTACCGAGAAAGGAGGAAAATATGACATCCATGGTTTAAAAAATTAGAACTGAACAGTAAAACGAAAATGTTGCAACTGACGGTTGACAACAAAACTGACAGCGGACTTTTCACAAAATGCAACCATTAGCTGCGGTTGTGAGGTTCAAAAGCGCACTTTTCAGAATGAGCTTTTTTGCGTCACATTGGGGTACATGTGCGGCCGTCTCTGGGACTGTGCTTTTGCTGCGGCACAATTGTGGAAATGAGTGCTTGCAAAGTCACAAAATGAAAATGTGCTGCGGGAAAGTAACAATTGCCGTCTTTTAACGAATCGAACTGCGGCAAACGTGGAACGAAATCAGTTTCACCGTTTCGGAGTTGCAGCCATGGCTGTAAAGTTGTTCTTGATGCTGACTGGTTTATTATTAATAAACAGAAGTACGTCAAAAATTAGCTTTTTTGTTCCGTCTCGTGGAGTCTCTGGCGAATTCTCTTTCACTCTACCAACGTTCGCAGCATTGCACAGTAAACTTTTGCAACAACAAGCCCGACATTCCCACGGTCTGGTGTGGAATACAGCCGGTGACCTTTGTGGAACCAAGTGGCTGACGCCATCGAAGAGATTTTGACCGTATAAATCTACGGCCCGTGGACTGTGCGTTTTATTCCAAAGGACTGGAAAAGTGCCGGCTTTTTTGAGAAGTACGTACCTACCGTCAAGAACCTTGACGACCTCGGCTGCCCGACCTTCAAAACACTGTGCACCTTGAGCCAGACTACGCGGAATAAAGCTATTGTGTTTGGACTATGGCTACCGTGAACAACATTGTTGCCACGGCGGATTTGAACTGCCAGTTGGATCTCGACCAAATCGAAGACAAGATACCAATGGCGCACTACGACCCACGTAAGTTTTCCGGGTTATTATGGCGTATTCTTAAACCGTACAAAGCACACTGCCAACTATATAGTAACGGTAAAATTACAGTAAATGGTGCTCGCACTGTAGCCGAAGCTGAGAATTTAGTTCAGCATTTCGCGCACATTCTCGAACGCTTTAGTTATCGTGTGACTGTTACTAACTTTCATATTGTTAATATGGTGGCGACATATGATTTTGGTCAGCGTTTTGATTTATTAGACTTAGCGTACAAAATACCACGCTGTAACTATTCACCGACGCGGTTTCTCGGTTTAATTGCGCAACTAGATACTTGTACAGCGGTTGTGTTTTATAGCGGAAAAGTCAACTTTCTCGGTGGAAAGTCCGCTGACGATATCGACCATGGGCTGCAGCAGCTCACCCGTTACATTGCCCGGAACTAAACTGGATAGAACAAAGTCAGCGGCTGCCGTATGTATGGACTGCGGAGGCAAATGCGACCGGGTCCGTGGCGCCATGGCCTTGCGATACCGACCGCCATGCGCTAGTCGTCAAGGATTCGTTGACCCGACCCACCGTTGCCCGCGGTGCGGCTACGTATGTTTCAACTACCCTCGAAAACTACCGATGACAATAAATCAACTACTGGCGAAGACGTTTGCGGACCGTACAGTACCTTTCGCAATGCTGACCCGCTCCAGCCCAAGAAACCAAGTATGGCCAACTACAACGTCCGGCTGGCCAGCTTCACTGCATGGCCCAAGATCCGATTTCAGCGGGAACAGGACATGGCGGCGGCGGGCTTTATTTTTCTTGGACCTAATGACCGCGTCGAATGCTTTTCGTGTGGTCAAGTGGTGGAGGCGTGGCACCCTGATGATGATGTTTGGGAAGAACATGCTAGAATTGCACCTTATTGCCAGTTTGTATTGCAAACGAAGGGTGATCAGTTCATTGATATTGTCTTGGAGAAATTCAAAAAGCGTGTTCTGTTTTATTACTGAATTTACGGTTTTATTTTATTACTTTTTACGGCCTTGAAGTGCGTGTTACTTTTGTTAAATAGCTGATTAATGAAAATTGACGTCATGCGGAGCTTTTATGTGTAGCGGTACTTCGTAATTGGCTTTACGCTTCATCACGAATCTCTCTTACTGCTTCACGCCGTACCGGCTATGGCTTCAACATGTAAGGAATGATGCAACTTAGCACATAGCGTAACACCCAGCCGCACACTAGCCGAAATGCGCTTTTGGTGGTACACCAAAATGCGCTTTTGGTGGGCCACCAAAATGCGCTTTGGGCGCCGCACATCCTGCGTCACATCTAGCGATAGGCCGTTGAAGTGGTAACGGTACCGTGCCGCTGGCGCGGCACATACAGCGGAACGCCGGGTAGTGCTCGTCAGCATCGCCCAATAGTCCCACTAACTACTCGCGTTCTTCCTCGAAAGTGAGCTACCGGAGCCGCGATACCGATACATTTGCCACGTGTGGCTACGTTTCTTCCCGGTCTGTCGCCAGTTGATCCTTGTTGACTGCACACTGGATCACCTCATTCACACTCTAAATTACACACACCGCCGTATTAAGGATAACCTGCTTCCAAGGCTGGGCGTACAGAAATACGAAGATCGGAAGAATCGCCCGCCGTTCAATGTTACGGCGCAACGTTGTGTTCTGCGCTGCAGCGACCCCCCGTCGCAAATACTGCGGACGATTTTGTCGGCTGCTGATCACAACTGCTCTGCAGATCCAGATATTTACGCACGAGTGGCAGTGATCCATCAGAAGATGATGCGGACCCTGGCGTATCCCGAGGAGTGGACGGAGGTTCGGGAAATAATCCAGTTCGGCGCGCAGGGTTACTTGTTAGATATTACCGAGACTAATTAATTAAAGCATAAATAAGCAAACAGTTATACTTTTATGGTGTATGTTAAGCTTGGCAGATAACTGGACAAATAAAAATGCGACGTCGTATGGTTGAATTCCTTTCTCACGCCTGCGTTTTAATTGACGGTTCGGCCTGCTGATCAGTCCTGATGCGCTTGCTCTCGCACAACCGTTTCATTTGATATGTAGTTGTTAAATTCCTAATCGTCTGCTCTGATATCCTAGTAGTTAGTCTACTGTTAATCACTAATCAGTTGGGTTCTTGCAGGTACAACGGGTACTGGCCAGACGGGTCGCTACAATGTTGGCATTCAGTGGATTTGAGAAATTTCGATATCCCCTTGATCACACTAACTCTCCTGGCTCTGGACGAAATTTTCATGCAGGAAGATGATACCACCAACGATATGAACAACCTGGCCCCACCGTGACCCCACCGTAGCTTCCAAATTGTACAATCGGCAACAATGAGAAGCCAATGGAAAGACGGTCGAAAAAATCTTCAGTTGGCTGTACCGCTTCTGCTGGTATAATTGTAGTGTACGTTGTTTTCAACTAAGAATTTCAGTCAGTACAATAATTCTTTAATCACTATGTTTAAACTTCCAATAATCTTGACGAGCAACCACAAGTCCCTGTTACTTATTTGGAACAGGCAGTGCCACTGAATTGTTTAGTTCGGAAACACTCCCAAGTAGAATTTAGCTGTCATTATGACTTGTTATTTGCTAGGTCTTTATTTTCATCGAATCTTGTTATCGACCTCTAGCAGCTGATAAGTGGTAACTAACAACCAGCAACAATAAAACAATTATTATTCGACGACTACTGTAAAATGAGTATTCCGTCAGCTAAGCCAATACTTTGGAGGAGATGTTGCATCGTCGCTTGCATTGTTACAACCTTCGCTCGCCTCATTCCGCGGGGAGAAGAAAACTTTCGTGTCGAAAGCCGGACGCAGTCCGTTGTTTCTCATATATGTGAATTCTAGCTTTGCAACAGCAGTAGCTCCAGCGATCTCACGGTCCCCGGTGACCAGATAATCATAACGGCACTCGCTGTTCTCTGGTTTACGTGGACCGCACTGTCTGTCTACTTCTTCCCTGTTGGCAGTGGACAAACCTTAAACTGTATTTCAGTAATTTGTCCCTTTGAAATTGCGACTTACCTCATCAAAGTGGAGTTCTGTGGAGAATAGTCGGGTTCTTCGAAAATAGGGAAACCAATCATCGGGATGTTGAGTGCCATTAGCCGTGAGGTAACTGCCCGCTCCGAACGAATATGCAGGCTTTTCGGTGTCAGAGTTATCTTCGATTTGCCCTTCGAAAACATATAAAGTATGTGCATGCAACTGACCAGATTCAATTATGGTCAAGTAGACTCTTACAAGTTTTTTGCAAAACCGAAATATATTGATTTTGTACTGGCCGACATGGGTACTTCGATTCCATTGGCCGTTGTTAGATCATCGTCCGGAATACCGTTCCACTTGCCGAACAAACCGTATGTATGATTCTATAACACGCTAACACTGCTGATTGCTTAATACACCGCTCCATGAAACGATTTGAAAGGGAAGGAATATATACTGCAAGGGAAGGAAGGAAGGGAATGTCGATACAATACTAGAGTAGTATCTGTAGAAATGATTCTCGTACCTGAATTTCTGGAGGCACGGATGCCGTCACATGCAGGCGGCCCTGTGTTTCGCTAACCTCGATAGCGATTCCAGACGGAAAGCGAACGACCATGTTAGAGCGGTCAGAATTGTATTCGGAGTTATGAATCGATACACCTGGAAAGCAAAATGTTGCTCGTAAATGAATAATGGATATTTGTTGAGCTTAGTCCGACCTTTAAATTGCTGGATCTTGAGCCATGACTGGTTGAAGTAGCGAGGCTGACCGTTAACTAAAACAGGGAGTACGGGGTGCCAATTTTTATCTTGCTCAACCGCTTGTATTTCGACAATATCGGAACCATTTTCTTGCACAACCACAGCCTGGACAAACGTTGAATTAATGTCTCCAACTGCAACAAGACATAATCCAACGGCTCGTACAATAAACGGAACTAATCGCAATTTTACAGTGTTCATGTGGCAGTTTCTGCAGACGGACTTGCACGTTGATGGACAAGGATGGTAAATCGGACCGTAGCAGTACATAGTCGCCCAATCCAGGGAAAGTGTACTGCACATTGTCGAAGGTAATGACGTGAGCAGCGCCATAAATAACTGCTAGAATTTGTTGCACGTTATACCAGTGCAAAATCGCAGAATTAAACTATTTGGACGCTTACCGGCTCCGGGATTTTGGTAGCCACCACAGTCGTGCGATACGCGCCGGTATTGCGCGTGATATTCGCAGTTGTCAGACCACGTGCAGCACAGAAACCAGGGCATCTTGTCGTGCAACCAGTTGGACAGCGAAGCCACCTACAAAAATTGTAATTATTTTAAACCAATGTTTCTGTTCTGTACTCCGCCTTTATTGTGATTTGAACGCAGTCAGGAAAGTTTTAGTGGAGTGAATCTCGATTTTACGAGGCATTCTGTGTGCTTTTATTTTTTTGACACAAAAATTACCGATCACGTACTTCGCGCAAGCATCAGCCCCACCAAGTACTCAACCGATTTCGCACTGCAGCCAAATTTTTACCATGCCATCCAATTATTCCGAAATTAACAGTAAATGTAACTTGAAATCTACGAATTCGTGGCGTTGATTAGTTCCAAGGAGTATTTTTCAGCTCTTTGCTAGTAATTACAGAATGCTGCAAGCCCTTACTTCTGTATGTAGGTAGGTGCTGAATGTATCAGTATGTCACCAGAAGACAAAATCAATTTTACCGATTCCCGACTGGTTGGGGCACCGTAGGGATGCACACGATTCGGTGAGCCACTCCCCAGATTGTTAAGCAGCAGCTTCCCCTCGCGATCGTAGCAGCACTCCTGTCCGGCTCCCGTGGACGGTTGCACTCGTCCGTACACGCAGTGAATGGCATCTTTATGGAAATTACACGTGCTAATGCCGTCGTAGTCGCACTCCACATCCGGTATGAAGCGACCTTTATCCGCTTGGGCTTGCTGCTTGGTGCATGGACAGGCCTACAACACATATGGATCTTAAGCTGTTATCATGTTCGGAAACCTTCGTACAGTTGTACAATTCTGTAATAAACATACCTCTAGAGAACCGATGAACTCCGGTAATGCGCGATCGCTGTAATACCAATCCCGACAAAACTGCCCGGCGTAGTCGTCCCCAAAATCCTGGCGCCATTGCTTCCGGAAATACCACGCCAAGGGAATCATCTCCGACCAAAGATGCCTGTCATTTCCATCGCAAATATTCAGTTATGGAGGTATTTATTAAGATTTCGTTAGAAGAAAAGAGCAAGTAAGATGTGGATGCACTAACGAATATGCCACAGAGCTCGCTCCCGCCGCGTTGGAGGCACTTATACGAATAAATCCCAGGGTAAATCTCGCCGGCTGGCGTTCAGCCACCCGGTTGTGAGGATCGAAGCTGTAGCGTCCATCGTCGTTGAGAATGTTGGTGGCGATGTTGGCCAGGAACTGTATTACTGGACGGTTGGCCTCTTCTCGATATCCCCAAAGACCTTACCAAAGAATTAAGATGCAGGGTACAAATATCTTAGATGACACACTATCTCGATTATACTGTAGTTAAGAGTTTAAGACACTAGTCTGTTTCCATCGGACCGACGGATCAGAAGACTTTGTGATTAGAGTTTGGAGTGATGTAACGCACAAACCGATGTACTACACTGTCCACACAGCCACCACAGACTAGATTTTCTCAGCACCAGTATTTGTTACGTGGATACCAATCAGAACACGAAGCACTCCGAGAATGGCTTGATTATATTTTTACCGATATCGATTTGTATGCGATCTGTCCAGGTCATTTCCCGAGGATTCCATTCCACAGTCAGTTGGTTGGGAGGAGTTCGCAGGAACCAGTTATCGAGGTAGCGTAAATGGACCCTAGCCACACTTTGCCCATGCGGTGCTGACGAAGATTATGCATTTAAGTCTACCTTTCGAGTTAGGTACTAATGATATCGGTACTATCATTACTATGTGGAATTCAACTAACTGTAGGACTTATCCGCGTACCGACAAAGAACTCCCCGGAAGTGTTGTAGGTCTGGCCCCTGTTGATACTTACCGCAAAGGGCAGCCAACCGCTTTCCAGCGTCATCGGCGCTTGACATTTCGCTTTGTCGTGGTCGATGCAGAAACCCGGCGTTTCGTGGTGCCCGAATTTGCAGCGAACTTGGATCGGGTCGGAGCAGGGTACAGTTACGTTGATCATTTCACCGCCGAGCACACCACCTCCCAAAGGCGTAGCGTGTGCTGTGCCCTCTGCGAAAGTAATTTTCTGACATGAGAAAAATTGATAAAGATAAAGGCCGCTCTCTACCATATAAGCATAGGCAAAATTATTTTATTTACATTCTTAGGTTGCAACGGAACAGACAGACAACGACAAGACAACGGAACAAACGTTATAACAGTTCTCATTCTGATACCATCAGACTATCAGTACTTCAAGTATAGTGACTATACTGATGTCTACTATAGTCAATATCTCTAGTGTTTATGAGCCCAAAAAGGTGCTGATGTCAGCTGAATCGATGCATCCGTTTTACAGAAAACGTGCGCGGATTATCTCTATACAGTCATATATTTTTTCAGCATAATTTTTTAACACTTCTTACTTTGTACGTCTTCTGGTTCTTTTAAGACTTTTGGAGACTGGCCAAACAAGCTTTTCTTGGAATTTTGTGAATTCCCGGGCAGCACTTGAGCGTTGCCAGTTTTCGCTGCAATGAATATAAAAATCGACACCCGTGTCCAGCACGCCATTGCTGGAGCCGGTTAGCAAAGAAAACGAATAATTAAAATAATTTTTTGATAAAAAAATTGGCACGTTAAGCAGGCGGTAATATGGTGTTTAGGCAGTATTCGCCAATGTTTTCAACTGATATATTAGAAGGATACTCGCTAGTTGCATGGCACTGACCATCGCAGCAAAACACCGAGAGTACATTGCAGGACTGTGATTTGTAACTGGTGCTGCTAGCGGAAGAACAGTAACAAAAATGCTTTAACAGATAAGCAGTTTGCAGTTTGCACCTTATGACACACGCCTGGAACAAGTTCCATCGTGCCACAGCTACTCTCAAACGACAAGTTTACTTCGATAATAATCTATTGTAGTACGGTCAAGGTTTTCGTCGAGCATTCCGTTCAAAGACCGTATGGAAAGAACTGGTGCCTGGATGGCCTCGTGCGAAACTAAAAACGCTATGGTTAATCTGCCATAGTGTAGAATCCAGTAGGTGCACCGTTACGGGTTATATACTGCGCGGCAAATTTTGTATTTTGCAGTACTACTGGATACTTACGAGTGCATCCGGCAACGTGCTATGTAAGGTAAATGTAAGAAGTAACTTGAGGAAAATCTGTGAGATCGAGGCGAACGCCATGACTTTGCAGTTATGATGTTTGCGAAATACGCACTACCTAGGCCTGGTACACAACACCCATACTTGTTGGAAATAAACCGGCAGTACTTATTTGATAAAATCCTGTGTTCTTAGTTACTGCCGGCAGCAGTACTTGCATTAATATGGCAATTACAGTGATTCAATAACACAATACCAAATTAATACCATACAGATAATGGGTGAAAGGTTAAGCTTACCTCCGAATGTGTTAAAGAAAACATTTACGTAATATATATTTGTCTAAGATTCAATTCGATCTTCGTTGGAACGGTTGAATCACAATGCGAAAACGTTGTTGCCATTCGCTTCCCGTTACGAACCGTCGTCTAGAAAACAATGCTTGTCTTCTACGACGCAGTTCAAAGCGGGACTCGACACAGTCCAACAAGCATAACACAGGCCATTCCGTGTACTTAGTATCTTAATAAATAAGTAAATTATGGCGCACGAAGTAAACTTGGTACCAGCATCGCTAACGAATTTTTACAAAAAAAAATTTGGACACACGGTCAAACCTTGGAAGAACTCAAGTGCAGGAATATTGGTACGGCCTTAAGCATATGGCACAAAAAGCAGCTGATGTTTACAAGAGGTTATCTGTACGTGGAGGAGAATCATTGCAAACGCAGCAAGCACCAGGTTGTGACACTGAAACAGCGATACAAAAGCAGCTGCTTACGGGGTTGAATTTCTTGGTAATTTTTTAAACATGTGATGCGGTCGGTACTGAATAAACTATAATGATCATGCTAAATGTACAGATGCCGCAATCTCTCGAAATCTGTATAAGTACTGTACAGTAGTTGAGTAAAGATCAAGTCAAAATTTACGAACCGACACAAAACCTGCGTCCAAAAAAACCCTACAAAACAAACTCATCCAAAGTTCATCAAGTTTGCTGGAACCATTTGAATTCGAATCCCAACCGTTTTTCTCATATAATCAGAGAGTAGAAGAGAGCGAGAGTAGAATAAACGTCCTACTATATTGCGATGATTTGGAACAAACTGCTCTTAAGTTATTTAGTAACAAAGCCAGTGGCATAAAGGACTTTATGCTTGTGTAACATGAGCAATACACTCGAGATGCCCCATGGTTGCAAATGGTCTTCCCTGCATGGGAATAATGAGTTTTTGGAACATGTAACTAGCATACGTTTCTGAAAGTTCTTGCAAACCTTATTTTCTACTAAGAAACGGGCAACGTATGTTTCAACAGCCTGTTAGTGCTGCATCGTTATTCCTGACAGCCTCCTAAAGTTGTCTAAATAAAAAGTGGGGTCATGAATGGACTGATCAGTAGACAACTGATAGTCACTGTGCAAAGTATTAAGTACGGGCTAAGGTGATTAGCAATTCTGCAAAACAACTAAAAGATCGGAAAACAGATATTTCCCACATAATGAAATCTGCATTAAAAATGGCCAAAAACGTTTTTAAGGGGAGCAATTTTGTCGTATTATTATTGTACGTTACTTACTCAATGCTTCAGTTGTCACACTAACGAATATTTAGTAATAAAATAATACTAACTAAGAAAGTACGGACTTTACAGTGTTTAGCTGAATCTATCATTTAACCTTTCTTAGGTATATAAAATTTTACTGTACAGAAACAGAAAAACGACAACCACTAGCACCGACGTTGACCGCAGCGGCTAACATTTTCTGGGCACGCGGAAGTAAACACGGCATCAAGATGACACAATTAACATTCGTTACCCACGTCATGATTGAACGTTTTGCCACATCGTGCCAGATTACTATTAAATTTTAAAATCGAGTTATCAATGTCGACCAGATCAACCACGGTTTGCAAAGCACTGTTTGCAGAAACCCTTGTAGCACTTGATATCTGCAAATCGCAAGTCACAAAACAAGCTAGGACTGCATACACGAAGGTAGTGTTGGCTTAGCATAATTCTATTAGTAAAGGCTATTCTTATAAAAGTAAAATAAATGCAATATACCAACAGTATCCGCATTGTTAATAGGAAGTACAGATACTGGTATGTTAACCGACGGACGAAGACGCGCTTGTAGCCGGCAGATATATTGGCTTGTTTCCTGTTGGCGAGCCCGGCAGGAAAGTGGTTTTTCTCCCATAAATCTGCCGAAATGCACCCACATTTCTGCCGACCCGACCCTATGCATTGCCTATGGGAACTCCAATATATCAGCCGAACCGGCACAACAGTGAAATTTGATACTTTTGTTGAGTGCGAGCCGGCAATAGCACGGCCGGGCTGCATCAGATACACCGTACAGCCGCCTAAGCATATTGTACCGGCACTAAACAGAGAAGCGCTCGCTTTCTATTGTGCCGCGTCTAATCGTTGCGGGGGAGCGCCTTTGCCGAATGTGGATTTATGCATAGACATCATCGCAAAACAAAGTTAATTGTTGAATATATATTTATTTTTTCCAAATGACCATTCTTCTAACGCATACAAACTGTGAATGGTGTACATTATCATTAGACAGTTTTACTTAAAAATTATCACGCTATTTCGGCAATAACCACCACACAAACCAGTGCGGTAATCGTCTACATGCACTAATGGAACTGTAAACGAAATGAAAATTGTTTACTGAAAAGCATCATCGCAAAACATCGCAAAACAAAGTTAATTGTTGAATATATATTTATTTTTTCCAAATGACCATTCTTCTAACGGCAATAAAATTTTTCAACATATAGGCAAACATGAACATATTGCCAGTTTAATTAATTGGCGATGTCATGCAAAATTTGGGCGCCAAATTAAAAACAGTTTTTCAAACAACGACCCATAAATCTGCCGAACTGCACCCACATTTCTGCAGACCCGACTCTATGCATTGTCTATGGGAATTCCAATAGATCGAACGAACGAGAGAAACAATAACAAAAATTATTCTGCAGACTTAAACGTGGAAACAAAAAACAGGTAGAAACAATAAACAGACTCTCGCCCGTCCCTAATAACAACTTCTTACCAATCTCCTTTAACGTAACAAAGCTGGTCTCACTTCAAGTGCCAAAAGTCTCACATGCAAAGGGGACAAAATTACAGCGATTGTAAGCGACTTGCATTTTCAAATCTTCTCCCGGCAAGCCAGTTCGGCTTGCCGGGAGAAAAACAAAACTTTGTTTTGCGATGATGTCTGTGCATAAATCCACACTCGGCAAAGGCGCTCCCCCGCAACGATTAGACGCGGCACAATAGAAAGCGAGCGCTTCTCTGTTTAGTGCCGGTACAATATGCTTAGGCGGCTGTACGGTGTATCTGATGCAGCCCGGCTGTGCTATTGCCGGCTCGCACTCAACAAAAGTATCAAATTTCACTGTTGTGCCGGTTCGGCTGATATATTGGAGTTCCCATAGGCAATGCATAGGGTCGGGTCGGCAGAAATGTGGGTGCATTTCGGCAGATTTATGGGAGAAAAACCACTTTCCTGCCGGGCTCGCCAACAGGAAACAGGCCAATATATCTGCCGGCTACACGCGCTAAACAGAATCGATACTCGTCCATGGGCCAAGATTCTACGGTTGCCGGGACTGCTTATCCCGAAGCATTTTTTTTAAAAAAAACGCAAAATACGGACATGCCGTAAAAGATTTTGAAACCTAATTTATTAAGGACACACGGTTTGCCTGACAAGTCTGGGTCTACAGCTGTAGTAACCCAGGGATTAACACAATCTGATTGCGTATTTTAACCTACTACTTTCTCATGTCAACATCGTGTCAAGCAATATAAATCTTCAAGTCAAGAAATACATATTATATTTTTTGTAATGATGAAGCCTCCAAGATTTTCGTATGACTTTGATTCTCCTGCAACTTGGAAAACGTTTATGCCTGAATTTCGGATTCGTATTCAACGATTTACAACCGGTACGCCAAGGGAAAATGCAAGAACATTGGCTGCTTTTACAAACAGGTCTTTGCAGCCGGAGCTAAATTTTCTTCGGTTACAAATAACAAATCCACACATTCTGCTTACCTTTATCCAGTAAATCAAGGAAAGGCGAGGAAAGATAGGCACACTGCGCTACAGCACATTTGCTTACATCTCCTAGGATAAACTGTATCCGGTTTTTCAAAAACATAAACCAAACAACATTATTCGCAGGTATAACCCATTCCTTATAAGCCTGTACACTTGGCAACCTTCTGGACGTTGATAGAAGTTTCCAGACAAAGTCACTTGCACTGAAAGTCAGTCACTGAAAGTCACTGCACTCTGTAGTTCAGACAGACCATTCCGCTGTCGCGATCAAGTTTCTCTACCGAATGTTGTTACTAAGGCGACTACGATGCTACCATGCCCCGTAAACACTTTCAAAGCACTTAGGTGATGACGTTTTGGAATGTCGCTGCGCTAACCGATTATCCATCCTGTACTACGAAGCAGGAAAACGACGCAACACAAGCACATACTGTGCCTACTCAGTACTGCTACAGTGTACAAAATAATATTCTTATAATGCAGTAAGTACTGTACTTACGAATGCATCCAACAATGTGCTATGTAATATTACATGTAATATTACATGCTATGTAATATTACATAGCACATTGTTGAATGCGTTTTAGAGACCAGCAGCACCATACGATGTTAAAAAACAAAAAAAAAATTCCATCAACTCCTCCGTTCTCCAATTTCGTAATAGCTTTCGTGGTTTCCCGTAAAATTTACAATTTACGGGCAAACCACAAATTTTAGGCAGCTGTCGGGAAGGAATTTGCATGCGAGTTGTGCTTACAAATTTTTTTACGGTACTACCCATCTCATAATGGAGCTTGTGTTCAGGGGATTATGCAAAAATCATTACGAAATGCACGAAAACGTCCCCAGCTTCCGTTACCGACCGGGATGTAGCCGAGGTCATCAGTTTTTTGTGGCTGTCGAGAACGTGGTTTTTGCCCGTCGGTCAATGCCACTTTGTGCGAGTGCATGCAGTACGATTTCGACAGAATAATCGCAGGGGCTTATTTTACCCTTCCGTCAGACACTGCCCGCAGTTTACGTTGCTGCAAATACTATTACGTAATGCGAGTATTTCTTGCGTTTGAATTCCGCCGGGGAAGGGTACCTACTCACCGGTAAATCTGGAAGTGGCGTTCGGAAAGGCGCAATTAATACCACCTTCGTATTTGTGAGAAAATTGGCATTATTTACTACACTTATTTGATAACGGACTTTATTTACTGTATTTCACCAGCAATCAGAATTCGTATGGCTACATTATCACGGTTGCAAATCACACAGTAAAACAAATGACGCGTAGAAGGCGGGTGCAATGGCAAGTAACCCACAAATGCGTTGGAGGAAAATTTTACGTAATACAAAGTACGTATGTCTAAATTGGATTCGCTCTTGATCTGAGCGGTAGAGTTGCGGTGCACAGACGTTTTTACCATTCTCTTCCCGTTACAAACCGTCGTTTAGAAGATACTGCCTATCTTCTACAACCCGGTTCAAAGCGGGACTCGGAACAGCCGTACCATACAGCATAATGAGCATAGATCATTCCGTGAACTGAGTAACGTAGTAAATAAGTAAATTATGGCGTACGAAGTAAACTTATCAGGAGCTTCACTAAGGAATTTTTACAAAATAAAATGAATTACGACGTACAATGTTAACTTGAAAGAAGACTTACGTGGGATACGCCACTGAGCATGGCACAAGAAGCAGCGGAAATTTACACACAATTACGTGGAGAAGAACCGTTGCAAACGCAGCAAGCAGAAGACTGTGGTAATGAAATAGCGATACAAAATCAACTGCTTATAGATTGCATTGGTAGTTTTTTTATACATGTGTTACGATTGATATCGAATACTGATCATGCTAAATGTGCAGAGACCGCAACCTCTTGAGATCTACCTGTAGTATACTGAGTTCACGTGTTTATTGTCCTTCTAATACTTTCCTATTTCTGTCCTTTGTCCTTGTCTTCTTAGCAACTTCTCTTGTGTTTTCCCGGTTCTCTAGTTACGATTCCTCAGTTTCCTTTCAGTTGTTTTCCTGACCATTACGATACAATAAAGATACGATTCCTACACATGACAATACATGACACTACCGATGAAGATAAATTAAATAACCGGTCGTGACACAAAACATGTAACAGAATAAAACCCATTAGAACAAAGTCATTGATCACGTTAGCAGCAAGCAACCATTTGCCTTCGAATTCTAGCCATTTTTCTCAAGTGGTAAATGAAAAAAGATTACCGCAACTGCGTTCTGCTGATACGACTGTCACCTGAAATACATGTATTTATAATGAAATGACTGAATAAACTTTGCTCTCAGAAAAGTGAGCCACGAGAGGAGGCAACGCCTTAGCGATACTTCCACGCTGCGTTGGATACAGATAGCGCCAAATTGGGTTCGGCTGGGATGATAAAACATTTCCTGTTGCAAACGCATAGCGGAGAAGTATGGGCGTCTGTTGATGGGAATACTATACTTCATATTCATAATAGAAAGTCTATCAGTGATATTTAATTCAGTGCATATCGTAGAGAAATTTTGTTTCAGTAGCCTGCAAATCTTAAGTTCCTACGTCAAAATTAGGAACGATGGAGGGTTCTAGAAGTTGGCAGTTAATAGTGTCAGTTCGACAGTTTTCACCGTACCGTTATTGAATCCTCGCAACGCGCGGGCGATGAGCGGGCTGAGGGTTGCTGACAAAATTATGAAGTCATACAGCATACTGTGAATTTAAAGATTGTGAACGGGCAACCGATTCTCACAGACCTGAATACGGAATCAACCTAATCTGAGATTTACCTACGGCCTCTTATCCTAAGTAAAAATGATATTTTTAGCACGGAATATGTTGCGCTTGAGGAAGAAACGCCAATGCTCTTGAGAAAGACTACCATTTTGTGGAGAAAAGCGAGCAAGCATTCGTCTGACGCGACTTGTCGGCACCTTGCATGTTCAGAAAATGTGCGTTGCAATTGCTTTCGAGAGCTGGCTTGAAGGGAAAAAAGGAAAATTTCCGATTACTCTTCTTAGCAACTATCTTCTCTTCATCTTCAGCCGCTTTTCTGAAGGTAATGGGCGGCACTAGTTCCCTGCTCTCAGACTATTCTCAGTCATGCAACGATGTGTATAAAAAACGGAACAAGATAAATCAGTTGTTTTCGTACCGAAATGGCTGTAAGTAATATTTTTCTCTGATTATTTTCTTAATAAATGGCCAAACTCTTAATGAATTCTTGATTCTTAATGAATAGTCCAAATCTTAACGAAATTCTGAGTTCGTAATGCAACTAGGCGACATCCGCAGCACCGCGCTTCTCGCGATCGGAATTACACCAGTGATCCACTGAGCTACAGTAGATCCTAGTTAATATTCTTGTTCAGACAAGGAAAACTTTTTCGAAATAACCAAATAAAAATGATTAAAATAATTTAATTTTTGAATTTACAAATTTCATTTCATTTCAAATCAGTTTCAGTTCAGACATTTTGAAAACGGCCAAAAGTCATTTGAATTGCAACCCTGTACCAACGGGTGGATAATGTCAACACATCAAACAACCCGCTTTCCTCCAGAACGCTTCCACCTTCTGCACGGAAGAAGATTTAAAAAAAAACAGGAATATGTCTGCCGTTTTCCCCGCTCCTATTATTCACCGATTATGACTATGGAAGTGGCATGTGGTGTTGCCACGATGTTTCTGGCGTTGCTACTTAGTGCTGTGTTCTGTCACTGTTTTATGAACATTCAGGATGCCAAAAGACTTCGAAAACCTCTGAGGCGCAATGAATTTCGTTAAAAGTATGCACACCGTAGACGACCCGAAAAAAACTGTGCTCCATATTAATTTTGTCACTGAAACCGGTTCCGCTGCTACAGTCACGATTAGAATGCAAACCGTGACCCGGATTGTAGTGATCTATTAGTTTCTCTATGAACTGAGAAGGTTAAATAAGTAATTTGACTCTCCCAGTGGAAGTGGCATCCGTCTATATCGATACCTGCATTTCTACAATGGCGAGATCCAGTTCAGTTTGAGGTGACCCATGAGGATGCGAGTCTAGTGCCTTTCAATTTCATTATACGCCAAGTTTATGCGCGTCTTTTAACCAAGATTCTTAATTCAGGGTTACAACATTCAGTCTATGTTTGCCTTCCCATGTGTACTATAAGCCTATTAACAGCTATTTACAGCCATCTGCGACCGAGCCGCCATCAGCCGACGGCGTTGGTGGTGGACGACGAGTGGGGACCGACATACCAGATAAGCTGGACAAAGCGTTATGTAACGCCAGCTTGCTCTCTGACGGGCTTCTGAAATGCCTCATGTCCCGCTTCTGGCTACTCCCACGCGTCAGACCGACGAACCCTTAAGCCTTGGTGTACAAGTGTACGTAAGAGATGGACCTACACGATATTCTCGAGATTCTGCAGTGCTACCTACCTAGCAACGCTATGATGTACTCCCCGCAGTTGCTACGATTCATGCTCAGCTGCAAGTTGTCGAGTTCCGGTAAAGATGCGTACTTCCCGATACATACAGATACGATACATACTACGTATTTCCACATACACCAGAAAGCCTCACCAGGTACTAGTAGGTCGCGAAAGCTTAATTAATATCGATTAATTTTAATAAATAATTAAATCGGTATCCAAGCCCGTTGCAGCCGTGCAAACGCACCCAGTATGGTGCTTTCCTTTACACACACTCGTTAAGTCTCGCTTATGAACTCGTTTCAGTAATTACGAGACTATACGCAAACTGGTAATTCTTAATGCACTTACGTATTCAAAATGAGCATAACATTTGCAAGCGGTAAAGAAGGGGCGTTACGAGGTAACCCGAGGTACTGTAAATGTGGTTCGTGGAGATTCTGCCGAAATTAAAGGCGAAGAAGTCATTATTACGTTTAACTCGTTATTATTGTTACAATTTTGGGGCTTCACGGAAGCCAAAACGTCCTTTTCATAAGACGAGATGAAGTTTAATTACTACCTTTGAGTAAGTACTAACTTTTTGAGTGAGTACTTATAATAGTACATAATTAACATACGTATGGATAAACATCGGAAAACAATGAAACAATCATCCGCAACAGACGAGACGAGATGAACAAATGATCGAGTCGAAGTATCCTAAGGACGAGCAGCGCC